ACAGGTGGGTCTCAGGGCTATCCGTGAATTCCTCCATTCATGACGAGTGGTTCTGACCCGCTCCAGGTTCGGCTACGTGTGCGCCAGCAAGACCATGTCTCTGAGACTCCTGCTGGAGGCTGAGAACCACAACACTGGCTTCACCAACCAGGAGAAAGGTGTGTGTGTGTGTGTGTGTGGCATTGGCGTGTTAGCAGAGTAATGTTAGCAGTATGACATAATTTACACAATACGGCATTATCATTGTGGTTAGCGTGTGTGTGTGTAGTTAGCCGTGTGTTCACGGTGACAGCGGAGGAATGTGAACAACCTGCTTCTGTGTCTTCAGATCCGGAGGAGTTCCTCAACACACTTTTCCAGCTCTTCCACCTGGAGCCCCTCCTCAAGATCAGGTGTGTGTGTGTGTGTGTGTGTGTGTGTGTGTGTGTGTGTGTGTGTGTGTGTGTGTGTGTGTGTGTGTGTGTGTGTGTGTGTGTGTGTGTGTGTGTGTGTGTGTGTGTGTGTGTCCGGCCACCACTACGTTTTTGCAATGTGTTTTTCATTGTTTTGTTTTTATGAGGGCTGAAAAAAATTAACTGTCGTATTGTCCCAAGACTGAGTTATTTAGCTAGTGTTTATGTTTCTAAAACTTGCCACATCCTAACACCACTGTCTGTCTCTCTCTCTCGCTCTCGCTCTCTCTTTCTCTTTCTCTTCCCCCCTCCCCTCCCCTCAGGTCAATGAGCCAGGAGCCCCAGGAATGCCACTTCTACCAGCTCTTCCCCCCAACCGTCCTCCCCCACTCTCCCTCCTCTCCTCTCTCCCCCTCCCTCTCACCGCTCCCCTACTCCCCCCCGGCAGCGGGCCAGATGCGGGTGGCGACTGTCCAGGCGATGCTCGACTCCTCCTTCCTCCACACAGGACTCAAGTTGGTTGTGGTAATGCAAAACAGTGTTGACAGAACAGTATTTACAGAACCGTGTTGACAGAACAGTGTTGACAGAACGTGTTATGCCGGCCAGCTTGTAATCGGGGACATAAATTATGTCTTTTTTTTGTTTTACTTTGCTTTTTATTATCACAATATGCTCACCTTCATTACATTTACAAATATAATGTGTGTGTGTGTGTTCCCCAGGCCCCCTCTTGTCTGCTGCTGCTGATGCCCAGGTTTGGGAAGGACTTCAAGATGTTTGACGCCATCTTGCCAACACTCTGCCTGGACATCACCGACCTGCTGGACGACAGTACGCACATGCCACTGTAGTCTGGATCTGTACTGTAGTTTGGTAGTTAGTCTGTATCTGTAGTTTAGTTTGGTAGTTAGAAGTCTGTGTCTGTAGTTTAGTTTGATGATTGGTAGTCTAGAGTGGCTACATTAATACAGTACAATGCTAGTTTATCAACTGTTTCTGTGTGGAGAGTTGACTCGAAAACCAAAACATTGCAAAATGGACTAAATTCATCAGCTCCTGTGAAATCAACATTGAAACTTTCTATGTCTCATGTCTGTCTCTCTGTATTTTGCTCTCTCTCTCTCGTGAAGCGTTGAGACAGTGCAGTATCTGCCAGGCGGTGGCTGAGTGGGAGTGTTCTCAGTGTTACCTGGACCTGGACATCACACCTGGCCGCCTCAAGCAGTACTGCCACACCTGCAACACACAGGTTAATACACCTGTAACACACATGTATATACACCTGTAACACACAGGTTAATACAACTGTAACACACATGTAAATACACCTGTAACACACATGTAAATACACCTGTAACACACAGGTAAATACACATGTAACACACAGGTAAATACACCTGTAACATACAGGTAAATACACCTGTAACACACATGTAAATGCACCTGTAACACACATGTAAATACACCTGTAACACACGTGTAAATGCACCTGTAACACACATGTAAATACACCTGTAACACACGTGTAAATACACCTGTAACACACGTGTAAATACACCTGTAACACACAGGTAAATACACCTGTAACACACAGGTAAATACACCTGTAACACACAGGTAAATACACCTGTAACACACGTGTAAATACACCTGTAACACACGTGTAAATACACCTGTAACACACGTGTAAATACACCTGTAACACACGTGTAAATACACCTGTAACACACATGTAAATACACCTGTAACACACATGTAAATGCACCTGTAACACACATGTAAATACACCTGTAACACACGTGTAAATACACCTGTAACACACATGTAAATACACCTGTAACACACAGGTATATACACCTGTAACACGCATGTAAATGCACCTGTAACACACAGGTAAATACACCTGTAACACGCATGTAAATGCACCTGTAACACGCATGTAAATGCACCTGTAACACATGTAAATACACCTGTAACACACGTGTAAATACACCTGTAACACACATGTAAATACACCTGTAACACACATGTAAATGCACCTGTAACACACATGTAAATACACCTGTAACACACATGTAAATACACCTGTAACACACAGGTAAATACACATGTAACACACAGGTAAATACACATGTAACACATGTAAATACACCTGTAACACACAGGTAAATACACCTGTAACACGCATGTAAATGCACCTGTAACACGCATGTAAATGCACCTGTAACACATGTAAATACACCTGTAACACATGTGTAAATACACCTGTAACATGCATGTAAATGCACCTGTAACACATGTAAATACACCTGTAACACACATGTAAATACACCTGTAACACACATGTAAATACACCTGTAACACGCATGTAAATACACCTGTAACACGCAGGTAAATAATGATTTTTGTCACATCCATCTCAAATATGTTTAAGCTTAGTTATTAAGCTTAAAGATTAGATTCAACAATGTAAATATGAGTTAAAGCCACCTTTTTTAAAAACCCAGGTGTCCTCCAATCAGACATAGATCATGTTCCCCACTGTCTCCCTCCTCCCCATCAACCCCTCCCGCAGGTCCACAGCCACAGGAAGCGGCTGTCCCACAAGCCCGACCAGATCAGTGTCCCTGGGGGCTCGTGGGCGGGGCCTCTGCACGGCACCCGCCAGCGGCTGGAGCTGTTTGCCGTGACATGCATCCAGACCAGCCATTACGTGAGCCTGGTGAAGCACGGACCACGGCCCTCCGACTGGCTGTTCTTCGACAGCATGGCCGACCGAGAGGGTGAGAGGAGAGACTGTTTATTCATGTTATTTATTTATTTGGTGTTTGGATGAAATGGTTGTGTTTAGAAAATGCCTGTATTTTCAATTTGTGTTCAATTTACAGAAATAAATAAAATGTTAATTTGTCTAAGAAAGTCATGCAGCAAGAATACAAAGATGAAGTAATTAAAGCAAGAAAATACAAAAAGATTATTAAGAGAATACTAGTTATTACAAAGAAATTAATGACAATTTATTGATCAAAAAAAAAGTAATTAGGAAAACACCATTGGCATGATTAAAAAGTATAAAGATATTATTAAAATATATATATATTTTAATGAGACTGAGTCATCACTGCAAGTAAAATAACTGTTACTATGAGAAAATTAAGCCAATCTGATAAAATAAAGTTTGGATGGCAACAAATAACAATTAAATAATGAATAAAATGAATGAAAGTAATGAAATAAAATAAAACAATGTAATGTGTGCTCCGTCCACCAGGCGGCGAGAACGGCTTCAACGTTCCACAGGTGAGGGCGTGTCCCGAGGTGGGCCGCTTCCTCAGCCTATCAGAGCAGGAGCTGAGTCACGTTGACCCCGCCTCCCTGCCGGAGTCCGCTCGCCGCCTGCTGTGTGACGCGTACATGTGCTTCTACCACAGCCCACAGCTCAGCATCTACAAGTGATGATGGGGATGGAGCAACAACACACACACACATACACACAATATACGTGAACACAAACATAACATAGAGCCTAACACACACACACACACACACACACACACACACACACACACACACACACACACACACCACACCACACCACACCACACACACACCACACCACACACGGCGTGCCTTTAAATTATGTCTTGGAAACATGCAGACAGCATGGATGTAAGGAAAAAGCCAGTGTAATGCACACAGCTGAAACACCACAAACTAACGTGCAATAATGATTCTTATGTGTCTATATTTACAACGTAGATGATTGCAATTTATTTTGTTTAAAAAAAAAACAGCAAATAAGAAAGTAATAAATATTCAGTGTTTTTTTTTATTAGGTCTATATTTGACCTTGCAGTCCGTAGCAATAAGGCTACTCAGAGATTTGTCCTGAGTCAATAAACAGTTGGTATGTTATACATACTGACATGTACTGAAGGTATATGCCGAGCTTTATTATCCACAATATCGACAATAAACAGCCCTCGACTGTGCTACACTTGTGACTGTTAGTGTGTCTGCCTGTAAAATGATAATTAATATGGAGCTGTAGTTGTACAGTATTCACATGTGTTAACCCGAGATGTTAGTTATATTTTATATGGGGTTTATAAGGGGTTGTAAATACTGCACAATGTTTGAAATTATAACTAGTAATGGAATAAAACGGTCACATTGGTTCACTGTTCGCCTTTGCCCTGTATTTCCTCCACATGGCCACTAGAGGACAGTTGACACTGAGGTGCGATTTCCGGCGACGTCATCATTGTGCGCCACCCACCAATCCCAGAAGCGACCAGTGCTCGACTCTTTCCTCTATATTTGTCTGCATTTTAACGGATTTCCAGCGTTAGAGCCGCCATAAACGAGTGTTTAATCACTTAACGCGTAGAGAAGGTAAGGAGGATAATGATCGTGAGTTGTGTCCATGTTATTCTCGTCCGGTGGTCAGCTAAATGCAGCGTTAGCTGTGGTGGCTATGGTTAGCTTCAGGGTGACTATTATTACTATTGAGTCATTTCATATTTATCACATGCTGAGTTCGGACGTATGTCATTCAGGAGCAGTCAGGGGTCGTCCAGTTATAAGGATGCCTACAGGTAATGCTGCAGACATTGGGGAGGGAATCGAACCCACGACCTTCCGACTGGGAGTCACACTCGGACCACTGGGAGTCACACTAGATGTTAACATCATAACCCTCAAGTGAAAAGGACACTGATATGTACATTAAGCCACCCATTGCAATGCAGGTGTTAAAGCAATTCCCAAATGAATTGACCGGCTCCCATTTTAGAGAATAACCTCAAACTAAAACATTAAAAAGGATTTGACATGCCAGACCTCAGAAATCATTAGTTTGTTCAAACATGAGCTTTCTAAGTCTTTCTAAGTATATAATTGCCATGAGTCTCGCACTAGATCTGTACAATTGCAACTGCGTTTATTTTTCTAAAATGCATTGAATTTTCCACATTTCCCACCTCCCTCTGCCCTTCTCTCCACTCACCTGTCCAGGATTAACAGTTAATTCATCAGTTATTTAGTGAAAAGACGTTAAGGTTAACGTAAAACAAGTCATATCTAGGTTGGGTATTTGTGCATGCATTTTGTTTGCCCATCAGGTCATTGTGTGGATTATCATTTTTACTTTACCTGTGACTATCTTCTCGGGTACAGGGGCCGGTTGCTAGGTTCGGATCTTGATGACGTCGCCCGGGGGTCAAGGGGGAGGAGCTCTGTCCACTAGGGGCGGAGCTGGCGCTCGCAGGATGAAGTGGGCCCTGGAGCTAAGCATGGGCAACGCACGGTAAACACATGGTTTTATATTGTAAAGTGTATGGTAAACACACGTTTTATAGTGTAAAGTGTATGGTGAACACACGTTTTATAGTGTAAAGTGTATGGTGAACACACGTTTTATAGTGTAAAGTGTATGGTGAACACACGTTTTATAGTGTAAAGTGTATGGTGAACACACGTTTTATACAGTACTCTCTATTGGTAAACACACAGTCACAGTGTTTACAAGCTGGAGGGTCTAAATGCAAATCTGCAAACCCTACAATGACTGCATCTCATGTAATGTTTAAGTGTGTGTGTGTGTGTGTGTGTGTGTGTGTGTGTGTGTGTGTGTGTGTGTGTGTGTGTGTGTGTGTGTGTGTAGGAGTCGTGTGGACCGGCAGGGAGGCCAGGGAGATGTGGTGTATCCTATCGGCTACTCTGAGAAGCCGGTCCCCGACAACAGCATCCAGGAGACGGACAAGAACCTGGTGGAGAAGGTGCTCCCTCTACTCTCCTTTTACTCTCACTGTCTTACAACGGCCATGGTAACAAGAGTAGTCAGATGAGCGGAGGGAGTGTACGTGTAAACCCCTCCCCCTCCTCCATCCAGTTACAATTGCTTCAACATGATGGGTGGATCCTGCCAGGAGGCCCTGGATTGGCTCTGGATTGCCTTGGGACCAGATGATGTCATGCACGTGTTCATTGGGGAATTATGATGGATGTAGATGGGGGAATGAAACGTGGTTCAGAAAGCACATTGGTTGATGCAGTGTTGTTTTACTGTCAATGATTTAAACATCCATTTAAAAAAGTCTTGTTGTTTTTTTCTAATTGAATTTAAATGTCTCTCTCTGTGTCTCTCTCTCACTCCCCCCCCGTCCCTCTCCTCCCCCCTGGCTGCAGCGTTGCTGGGACGTGGCGCTGGGGCCCCTGAAGCAGATCCCTATGAACCTGTTCATCATGTACATGTCAGGGAACACCATCTCTATCTTCCCCATCATGATGGTCTGCATGATGGCCTGGAGGCCCATCCAGGCTCTCATGTCCATGTCAGCCAGTGAGTACTGACCCACACACGCTTCCTCTCTCCCCCACCCTCCCCTACTCACCCCTAAAGCCCTAGATGTATGATAGATACTAGATGTATTATCAATAGAAACAATATGGATGTGTTGATACTATAGAGATGATGTATGATAGATACTAGATGTATTGTGAATAGAAGTAATGTGGATGTGTGTTAATACTGTAGAGATGATGTATGAGAGATACTAGATGTATTGTGAATAGGTGTAATTTGGATGTGTGTTCCTACATCTCTCAGCCTTCAAGCTGCTGGAGAGCTCCAGCCAGCAATGGCTTCAGGGGCTGGTCTACCTCGTGGGGAACCTCCTGGGCTCCGCGTTGGCCATTTATAAGTGTCAATCAATGGGGTTGCTCCCGACGCACTCGTCCGATTGGCTGGCGTTCATAGAACCACCAAAGGTAAAACAATGAGATTCAGATTTGATTCATTTTGGGGGGGAAATTGCTCTAAAAAGAAAATATAAGTAATATATATGTATTTAATATAAGTAAAGTAAGAATAGGCAGGACAAAAGGCGGAAAATACAGAGGAATATAAAATGTTTTCAATTTCAAAATATTTCAGTGTATCTCATAGAGCAGTGGTTCCCAACCTTTTTCTTAAGGGACCCTATTTTACCATTGTATACAGTGACGACCCCCACCGCCCCCAGCACACATACAATGACAAAAAATGGGGAAAAGTAGCCTACTTCTTTTGAAATATCTTTATGTATATTTCATTATATTCATTGCATAAAAAACAATAACAGCACAGAAAAATTAACTGTACAATGAACCTAAATAATGAATTTAATAGTGATGCCTGCAGGAAATTTGTATACAATTCTGAACAGATTATCTCCTGTGGATATTTCAATGTATTTTTCCTTATATTTGTAGGAACTCAATTCTATGTCTGTTATGATTTTCTTTTAATTTCACTATCATACATACGTTTTAATAGTCCGTAATAGTACGCAATAGTGTTTATTATTTCAGCCATTTTAATGCAAGCCGGTTTAATCAGCGTTTCACCGCTTTTTGGCTTGAGCAATAAGGAGAGGGCACTCGGTGATGTTGGGTCATGTTCTGGGGCATGTTTGGCACCACAAGGTCCTTTTTCTGAGGGAAAAACTCCCAGGGTTTCATTTCCCAATTTCTCACTGCAATTCAGCTCTAATGTTGTCTATTGCCTCCATGAAGTAGTATTAATAGATTCTAATCAAATTAATTGGTGTCTCACTACAGAAAATGGAAATCTTGGGCGGAGGAATGATGCTGTGAAGACCACACACACACAGTCACACATTGACACAATTACTATATACACACAGACAGAAAAAACAAGCACACACTTTTTGTTGCTGTTTGTTGCTAGTACCGCTACTGGAAGATCAAAATGGACGTTGGATTCAAGACAGCAAGACCCCGGTTTTAATTTGTCCCCTAAGATTTCTGTTTTGCTTTCTGCTATAAAAGTGTCTGTTTCACAATAATGTACATAACAAAACTACAACTGTTGAGGATGTTGTGATTGTTTTGTCTTTCTGATACAGAGTTTTTTGGTCAACCGATAACTCAGTTTTGGTCGCGAGTTTGTCTCCATGATAGCATTGCAATATGATTTGGGATGTGTTTTTCAAATACCGGTTTCCTTTGAAACAATTAATTTGAAATATGTCGACAAATATGTGTCTAACTATATTAACCAACATATGTCTTGCTAAAGAGAAAAACGTTACCTTGAAAATTGTATTTATAACAACTAGCTGTATAATTCCTTTTGAAATAACATTTTTGAAATGATTAAAAATTATTGAGTTTCCAGCGTGTGTTGATGTAATTTTATTAAAATGAGTTGCCAGTGTTAATTGTAAATGGAAATTGTGAGAAATGTGGGGTCTTTTTAAACAATATGTTCATATATATCATAACCATTTTAACAGTCCTTGGCCTTAGGGGTTTTTTTGTTCAGCGTCTCCCACATGTAAAGCGCCTTAGGATGAAAGGCGCTATAAAATTAGAAATTATTATTATTATTCGGTATTGAGCATCACTTGATGATCACTGTAGACTGCTTGTTCTCAGTTTGGAGACAGCTGAGGGGAATGTGTAGTAAAACAAGTACAAGTCAAGTTTTTTTTTTTTTTTTTCTGCTTTCTCTACTTATCAGTCAGCCCAATAGCTGCATTTTGATTAAGGGGTGTGTGTGTGAGAGGGAAGGAGAGAGAGAGAGAGGGAGTATCGCAACACCCTACTGAGAACAATAGCATTGGGTGGGGCTGAGGTGGAACTTGAGAATCAAGTCTGAACAAAATGCCCTCCTTGGTATAGATAAGATATTCACATGGTCTCTAATATTGATCTCTCTACACGACATGACATCAAGGCAAACTCAACTGGAATGGTGTCTCGGTATTAATTAAAAATCTCTTTCTATAGAGCCTGTATACAGTGGTGGAAAGTAACTAAGTATTTACTCAAGTACTGCAGGCTGCTTAAGTACAAATTTGAGGGGTTTGTACTTTACTGGAGTATTTGTATTTTCTGCACTACATCTCAGAGGCAAATATTGTCCTTTGAACTTTAACTACCGTGAAGTTACTCTAACAGCTTTAGTTACTAATTAGGGCCTACTTTGCAGATTCAGATTAACATTGCAAAGTATAATTAGTCACCAGGAGGAATTCACAAGCTACCCAGCAGTATGTAAAATAATATATAAAATAAATATAAATACATTAAAATGAGCTTCTCTTTTACAACAATATGTATTATTCTGAAGTGGTCCATTCTGCATAATGAGTACTTTTACTTTTGGTACTTTAAGTATACCTTGATGCTAATGCTTGACATTGAACGTGTGCTGATCTTCCTTGCATTCTTCAGAGGTTGACCTTGTGGCTCTTGAATTTAGTTTTTTAAGTCAAGCCAACAAACACACACACACACACACACACACAAATATATATGTATGTATGTGTGTATATATGTATGTATATATATATACATATACACACACACACACACACACACACACACACACACACACACACAACAAACACCCACACACCCACACACACACACACACACACACACACACACACACACACACACACACACACACACACACACAACAAACACCCCCCCCCCACACACACACACACACACACACACACACACACTTCTAGGTAAAAGTGTAAACAAGTGTGTGAGGGCCGGCCCTACGGGACCGGTCGGACCCGTAGGGTGGGCCCTGCCTGGGGGCGTGACCCTGCTGTCAATATGGGGGCGTGGCCTATCAATCTGGGGGGCGTGCCCTGAC